GTTTTCCTCTGTAAAAATTAAATCAACAATTAATAAAGATCACAATTTGAGAAGTGCCTCGCAAAAAAAAAAAAAAAGTATTATTTACTATATGGAGGAGATATCGACAATTATCAATCGAAATTTATATATCAAACCATATAAAATTAAAAAACTGCACGCGAGATTGTACCAAATTATAATATATTAATATATATCCAAACTTTTATCACGAATAAAGGACATTCTTGGAAATTTTTGTTAAAACCTTCAAAGCATTGTTTTGCTGTGTACCAACCCATATTATATATTTATAGATTAATCTATTATAATTTTAATTTAATTATTACTTTTTAATTATTTTTTTAAAAAAGAACTATATTTTTAGTTTTAATATTAAATAATTAAAAATATATAAAAAAAAATATTATATTTATTTATTTATTTATTATAATTAATTAATTTGTAATTTTAATAAATTATTTTTTAATAATTTAAAATTTATGTTCGGGGCGTCAGTCGGTACATCACAAAGATCAACAAGTTAGTAGTAGCACAGCTATACCAATATTACAATGGTGCCATTCGAATGTTGTCCAAACCAGGAGAGAATCCGATCGTTGCAACTATCCTTAGGGCAACTGCACCGAATCGGTGTCTTGGCGGGCAATGTTTGGACGAAAGAAGAGCCGAAGACACCGTGTCGTGTTGTGGTCCCAAACGTTCAATATACTGAGGCAAGAATTCCGGAAACCATGTCCTATGTGCCGAAGGGTGAAGAGCAGGATGAACCTCGAGAAGGTCGCAATGATCGTCGAAATGATCGCATATAAATCAGATCGTAAACGCGTTGCAAAATTCTCTTAATTGTAAACTCCAAGGCGGAGATCTTCCTAGTTGTATTTGTTATATGGAACATGTTAAAGAGTATTATGGTTTTGATAATATCATTATCATCGGAGAACTTCATGCTGGAATTCTTTTCCTGGACTGCTGGATGCTTGGGGATTATTGGAACGAGGCAACAAAGACTAGCGACCAAAGGAAGTGGGGTTTAGAGACCGATTGGACTGTAGTTAAATTTGAAGAATTTATGAATTGTATGTGGAGATTTTGTTCATTCCTTTTTTTATCTTAATTCTTACAATTAGTTTCTTTCTCCTAGATCCACCAAATGAATTAACCTTTAAAGATCCCGCCACAAAAATGATTGATATCCACCCTGTTGCAAAGAAGAAGAATTTGAAAAAAAAGAACTCAAAAAAGAATCAATATTGATCTGGTTTCTTTATTGTATTATTCTCAATTTCGATTTATGCTTGCTATTAATATTACTCCACGGTTTAAAGGTTGAGGATCCTCTACCCGATCTTAAATAGTACGAGTCTTATATCAATTTTTCTTTAGTTTTACTAAAGGCTTTGCTAATGTAAATATATCACTGATCATCGCGAGTTAAATAAAGATTATTAATCATAATTATTCTTTTTGCTCGGTAAAATTTCAGCGAACTTGGTTCGCCCAAAATCACGTGTTTTTTCAAACTTTTGAACATATCCGCATCTTGTATAAAACAATGGCAAACTCTCAATCTAAAATCGATTTATTAGAAGAACAGAATCCCAAGCTCTTGGCTGAGATCATTAGGCTCAGAAAAGAAAATGCCGAGATTCCCGAACTTAGAAGGAAGTTTGCTGAGGTCGAGGCTGAGAATGAAAAATTAAGACAGGTCACAGAAGAGAGCATTGAGCTTAAAACCAGGTTTGAATAGTTGGAGAAAAAAATAAAACAGATACTGCCAAGCTCTCTGCCGAGGATACTGAGCTTAAAGATAGAGTCACGAAATTGGAACAGAAGCAGACTCAGGTCATTACTAATGAACCGAGAGCATCTTCCATAAAAGATATTCCACAACTTATTGACTCACTGAGCGAGAATGCTAGTTTATACTATACTATCGCATCTGAAGAAACAATTATTCCTGGTCCCTCACCTGAAATAGAACATAGCCCAACAAAATCCGAACCCTCTGCAACCTCTTTTCCACAAGATGATACATCTAAACAAACGTCAGAAAACGCATCTGATATCGCCTCAAATTCCAAATCATTGGAAGATAAGGTGATTAATGAATTCTTGGATGAGTCGTATAAGAAAAGGGTTAGTGATGATATCAGGCAGAGAAAGCATGAGAAGAAGCTTCAATGTGGTTCCCCTAGCCAGGAGGCACCCTCGACTTCCCAGAATACTGCATCTACTTCCCATAAGCGGAAAAACGAACAGCGCTTGATTCGAGAAATTATTTCTTCCAAGGAAGAAAAACATGTGAATGAAATTTCAGCGAACTTGGTTCACCCGAATAATGAGACTTCAATAACTCTATCCATTCCAGCCATACCCCAGTTACCATCAGACAATGAAGAAATTATTATTGGTTTATATAAAAACGCATGTGATGCGGAAATTGGTGCAATCAAAGCCAATGGAGAAGAAATTCTGCATTGGTGTTTCTATGATAAAGAATTTAAAAGCAATTATAAAGATTTTATGGTCAGCAATAAAGTTGGGGAAAAGAAGGCAAAAGGTCAAGTATATGATTTTATTATTAAACAGCAAGCTTTAAGGATTGACAATTTATTCGAAAAAATAGGAATGAACAAGATTCAATACATCAAAACATACAGTGCAGATACTATTTCAAAATTTACTAATTCTCAGATTCAAATGATTATAGATCACTTTACCAAAAAGCCTGATATAGAATTCACAGATGATCAGAACAATTTATAAGATATGATGAATGAAAATATATTACAAGATAAGGATTCTCCCGCATCTAAATCTTTATTGGAGACAGAAGTAGATATAACTGTTGAATCTCATGTATCCGATGTTTCAGATCCCAACTTTTCTCAAAATAACAAGATAGAAGATATAGATTTCACTTGCTCTGATAACAAAGCTGATGTGTATATTATTATAATTTAAATAGCAGAAAAAAAACTTACAAAAGTTCATATATATGATGTTTTACATAATTAATATAACATCATTGAAGAGATAGTTTGAGAATCCAATTTGCACTAAAATTGAGTTGCAATATTATAAAGTATATGGCTATAAAATCCAATAGGTCTAATAATCCTATATTCATATAAATCTTATATAACTTCTATAAATACTACAAATAGATTATATAAAATGGCTAGTATGTGAAACCAATTGTATCAATACTAAATGGAATAAATATATAAAAATATCAATAAAACTCCTAGCAAGTGGAGAAAATAGATTTTGTTTCACTTATAATATTTTAGAAAGAACAATCTATTACTTACTATAAGTAAAAAATATTTGAAATTAAGAAATTAATAATATATTGATTTGAGATTAATGGATTTTATAAAAGCTATATATTTAAAATTGGTATTGCTATTTGTTTCTTTTGTGATTAATTAATATATATCAGAAAATGAATTAAAATTATTGAAAATTATAATTACATAGGAATAAAAAAATATTGTGTTACCTATTATATTGCAAATACATATTATGGAATAAATTATAATTAGTACTTATTGAAAATTAAGCAAAAATCTATTTCAGAATATAATTTTGATAATGAAAATACATTATACAGATATGAGTTATAAATACAGAATATTATTAAAAGAATAAAACATATAAAAAAAGTTGGATAAAAAATTTGAGCTATAAATATCATGGTTAAAATAGTCATATAAATCTAATGATTTTTATATTTTAAAATTAGCATTGCATTATTATAATATATAATATATATATAACTTATTTATATATATTTTATAATTTTTATAAAAGATTTTATTTTTTTTATATTGTAAAATACAACATTAGATTCTTATTAATATATATTATAAAATTTAATAAAACATATTTAAATTTAATTAACAAATTATTGCTTTTTTTAGTTAATAAAGTTTGAGCTTATTTAATATTTCAAAAAAGATATTTAATAATTAAAAAAGATATTAGTATAATAAATGAATTGATTAAGTCATTTTTAAAATATAAAATAAATAAATATTAAAAAAAGTTAAAATACAAGTAATAAAGTTAACTATTACTTAAAAACTTATAAATTATATATAATAATAAGATTAATATTAAAACATATATAAATATAACCAATTAAAAAATTTAAATTCAAATTGAAAATACTAATAATTATAAATACAATTAGATATATAAGTATTTTTATTTCATATATAAAAAGAAAATTAATTATTGGATTAAGAAAAATTAAATATTTTATATTAACAATTACTTAAATATAATAAAAAAACATAAAAAATTTAGTACAGAGACAAGCTACAAATAGACTGGCACTTTACCTAGGAAGTGCAACACCGATCCAGAATAACTAAAATGCATACAAGTCGAAAAGATTATACATATAGAAGAATCAAGTACAGATTACTAAATGACAAACTCCCTATATTGAATAGGCTAGCAAAAAGAAGACCAGATATCTACAAATCAACCAATGCCCAGGATGCAAGAAAAGAGAAAGCCTAAAGCACTTAATGCACAAACACTAGCAATACAAGATAACAGATGAATACAAAAAGATAATAAAAGAAGAAACTAAAGGGTGTCAAAGAAATTGCAACAAAGGGAAAGAAAAAGAAGACTCAAAATCAAAAATGTTATTAATTACAAACTTGGAATGCACAAGAAACTATATAGTAAGGGGAATTCTAATTAAAGAGATAACCCGATATATATATCAGTTTGCAAGGGAAAAAACAAAAAAAGTATGCAGAAGAATTGTTAAGAAAATAACAAAAGTAATCAACAAGCTATGAAAAAAAAAATGTAAAAAAATCACAGAATAAGAAGAAATAAACAATATTAACAGAGTGGACAAAAGAAAGTGACGATACGGATCATACCAAACAGAAATTGAAAGAGACAAAGAAAAAAAGAAAATAACAGCAAATAGGAAAAAGAACCTGAAGAGAAAATTGCTGGAAAGATGTGTTAAAAACACAGACAAAATAATGAAAAACAATTTCTTTTATTTATATATTAGTAACATTAACAATAGCAATGTCTTGACACATTAGTTTCAACCTCTATCCATTAGGAAAAGTTGATAGCAACAGCTGATATCTAGGAAACCTCAATATAGTTTAGCATACATCCATTAATTAATGTTATAGCATAGTTTATATACAGAAATATGTATGAATATATGTAAATATTGACTTTAATAAAGTTTGCTAAGCAAGATTAAGCTAGTTTAAAATAATAATAATAATAATAATAATTTTTTTATATTTAAAAATTTTAACTAATATACAGTGTGTTTCAAAATAATTGACTTGATATTTTTTATTATAATTCAATAAATAATAATTTAATTAAAATAAAACTTTAAATATCTATATTTTATAATTTAGTTAGTAAAATATTAAAATTTTATTAATGTTTAATTAATAAATTTATTTGAAAATATTAATTAAAAGATAAAAAAAAAATTCAAAAAAAGTATTATAAATTTTATATACAAATTCATATATAAAATATGGATAGAAATTAAAATTTTATTATGGAAAAATTTTTAAAAAAATTAAATATAAAAATGAATAAAAATTTTAAGTTTAAAAAAATTTACAAAAGACTTATTATTATATTTAATAAATATTATTAAAATTGGTAATTTTTTTTATTATATAAAATTATTTTTAAAAAAATTTAAAAATTTTTTAAAACTTTATATTTAATATAAATTTAATATTTTTTAGTAAAATTTAATTAAATTTTAAATTAAGTTAATTATTAAATAATTATTTATACTTAATAAAAAAATAATAATCATCATACTATTATTAATATAACTTTTATTTAACAAATTTATTTATTTATTTTTTTAAAGGGCTAAGTTGTGATATATGTATGGATTTTATTGTTGAATCAATTAAAATTACAATTATTTATATATTAACAATCTATTAACTATTGCTAATATTAACTTATACTATTCATTCTTTTATCAAAATATTAATCTATATTATATAGGTAAAATTTATACTCGAATTTATATTATGTCTTTCTACTTGTAAATATAGGATAAGGAAAATCTTGCTCAACAGTTGAAAAACCTTCCCAATGATCTCTTTTTTGACTTATGACCCTAATTTTTTCTCAATTGAATTACTAATTCAGATTGCACTAATATCAAATAAGATAGTGAGATCTGCTTGCAATATATGAAGTCTATAATACCAGTTTGAAGAAGTTGGCTAATTAGATACAACTTATTCAGAAAGCTATTCAATCTGAATAGAAGATAATACTATGAAGTCTGTTGTATCAATTAGAGTTATAAGCTTATATCAGAATTAGACCAAAAGTTTTTTTCAGCCCATAATCATCAGAAAAACCAGAGGTTGCATCTTTATGTAGCCTAATTATTTTTAAAATTAATTTTTGGCTAATTGAATACAATATGCATTAAAAGCTGGTTAATCAATTATAAAGGTGATAAATTTTTGTAATTAGATAGATTTAAACCTTAAATCTTCTTCTGTTGACCTATGGAGCATTATTACTATATTATTTAACAAATTTATGTATTGAAATAATTTTAATAATTTTTATGATTTCTATTTTATAATATAATTAAAATCAATTATTTAAAAAAAAAATTTTAATAATATATTTTAAAAACTTTATTAAGTAAATTTGTTTTTTATATCTTTAAATATATTAATATAGATTTTTATTTTATTTTATTAATTAGTTATTGAAATATTACAAAAATAAAAATTGACATATTGGATAATTTTTTTTAAAACACACTGTATAACAAATTGATAGTAACTATAAAATATTGTTTATCTATTTTTAGAAAATTGTAAAGAAACAAATCTTAAAAAAAGACTGTATAAAAACTTTATTTAATATTAAAAATATTTACAGCAAAAGAAAATCTATAATTCAGAAATCCAAAGTCTAACAAATAAAATACCAATAATAAAAAATTCATAATAAATTATCAAATGTTTGAAAACATTAGCTATTTATACATTATATCAACTATGCTATAAGCTCAAGGACATAAGGATTTTAAGGATCACTATTATATTGAGATGGGATCTCTGGTCAAAGATCAAGCAAGTTTGGAAGTCTTGTTTGTTCTTTGGTTGCATGAGAAAAGACCTGTGACAGTTTTTCTTCTTAACTTTGTCTTTATGCATCTCCTCTTTTATTATTATTATAATAATAATTCTCTTCTTTATTTTTAATATTGCTAAATTCTTCCTAAAAGTACATTCAAGTAAAGTTTTGGATCCTTCTATTTGTTTTGACCAAATCCTTCCAAACAACTTTAAAATAATATACTTTATTATATTACCTTAATAATATCAAATTTTTTTTCAAAATTAAAAACCAAAACCAGCTCAACCCTCCAAATGATCTATATAATCTCAATAGCTAATTCAATTCTGACACTTCAATTAAACAAGAATCAAACCAGTATTAACCTATTAGGAATGACAATAATAACAATAATATATAAAGATATATCAAATACAAATCAAGAATAATTTTCTGAAAATCTTCTATATTATTAAAAAAAATATTTCCACCCATCCTAACTTAGCTGTTTATGGATAAGCATAAGCCATTCATAAATCACTTTTAATTTGGCACTACTTACTTAGTATAATATAGTATTAAAAGTTATATATACAATAGATTAATATTAACTTAAATAGATGTTTAATATAATAACAGTACTA